CACTCACTCACTCACTCACTCACTCACTCACTCACTCTCACACTCACTCACTCACTTACTCACACTCACTCACTCACTTACTCTCACACTCTCACACACTCACTCACTCTCACACTCACACTCACTCTCACACTCACTCTCACACTCACACTCACTCTCACACTCACACTCACACTCACACTCACTCTCACTCTCACACTCACTCTCACACTCACTCCCACACTCACTCACTCACTCACTCTCACACTCACTCTCACTCACTCACACTCACTCACGCACTCACTCACTCACTCACGCACTCACTCACGCACTCACTCACTCACGCACTCACTCACTCACTCACCTCACTCACTCACTCACTCACTCACACACACAAACCCACACACACACACACACGCACGCACGCACGCACGCACGATCACGCACGCACGCACGCACGCACGCACGAGCACGCACGCACGCACGCACGATCACGCACGCACGCACGCACGATCACACGATCACGCACGCACGATCACGCACGCAAGATCACGCACGCACGATCACGCACGCACGATCACGCACGCACGAATCACGCACGCACGATTACGCACGCACGCGCAACACGCACGAGCACGCACGGCGCACAAACGCACGCACAAAACGCACGCACACAACGCACACACGCACGCCGACGCCCACGCCACACGCAAGCACGCAAAACGCAAGGCACGCACGCACGGCAACACGCACGCACGCACCGCCCGCCACCGCCACGCCCGAACGCCACGCCACGCCACCGCACGCCACCGATGCAAACCCCCGCACGGCCACCGACGCCACCGCCACGCACGCCACCGCACGAACCGCACGGCACCGCACAGGGCACCGCACCGCACCGGCACCGCCACCGCACGCACCGGCCACGCACTGCACTGCACCGGCACGCAAACTGCACCGACACCGCCACGGCACGGCACCGGACGGCACGGGCACCGCACGGCACGAACCGCACGGGCACACCGCACGGCACGGAACCGCACGGCACGCAGGACGGCACGCAGGCGCGCACGCCGGCACGCAGGAACGCAGGCTACGCAGGCACGCAGGCCCGCAGGGCAGCAGGCACGCAGGACACGCAGGACCCAGCAACCCCGCACCCACACGCACCCACACGCACCCACACGCACATACGCACCCACGCACCCATGCACCCACGCACCGACGCACACACGCACCCACGCACCCACGCACACACACAGACACACACACAGACACACACAGACACACACAGACACACACACACACACAAGCCCTTTGCAGTCGCGAGAACTGCACGCAAGTGACCTGGGTCACTAGGAACAGCCGCAGCCGTTGCCCCCCATAGGACTGTGTGCACCGTTTCTTTTGCCATTTCAGGGTGGGCTCCTGTTTTGTTCCGATTTACTGGCCCTGCGTTTGACACATTGCAATTTGGTGCACAGACGGATTTCAAACCCCTGCTGGACAACGCTTCCCTTGTGGTTTCTCATCCTGGACATTCGATAAGACAGGGTGCACTATGCTTTTACAATTTTGTTTTGCAGTGTGGACAGTTTTGGTTCTCGCTGACAGCAACCCGGTCCCAATTCCGGGCACAGCTGAGTGTGACTTCTTCCAGATGCGCCAGACACGACTTACAGACTTCTCTGGCTCCCAAAGAAACAGCTGTGAGGGTGAGGGTTGTCGTGGGACCACTACCACGACTGAAGCAGATCAGTGGCATTCCATCTTTTATGATGTTGCTGCAAAATGTGGACACCCGCCACCAGTCGGTGATAACACTGAATCTCCCTCATTGCCTTACACAAGTGTGCAGAAGCGTAGCTACAGAAGGGCCTGTCGACGGGCCATCAACACAGGCTATGCTCATTACCATGGACAGAAATTGCAGGTGACAGATTTTCCTGCGGCACTGGTCCAGAAACTTCGACCCTGTGCTGAGACTGCAGTCGAGGCCTTGCCCATGAAGGTGCCTAGATCCACACGATCTCCCAGGATCACTACCCTTTTTTGGAACCCGGGGGGGCTATCTCAAGCCACCTTTTTGGAGCTGAAGCAATGGCTGCGATCCCATCCAGTGGACTTGGTAGTAATAGCTGAGACTCGTTGGGGATTTGAATCCAACTGGATGGATGGAGAATGGTCCTATGTCCACTCGTCTTCTGATCAACGACGCAGTGGGGGCCTTTTGGTTATGATCGCTCGCCGACTGGCTCATCCCGATCAAATTGGTTTTGATTATGTTTTTCCGGGTCGTGCCTTACACATCAGGGTACATGGAGACACCAGAGCCTTGGACATTCTAGCCATTTACCAATTTGTGGATTACCGTAATGAACATTCTATGCACAGTCGCGAACTGGTCTGGGATGCAATTGACAAATGCCTGGGCAACATTCCATCGAGGAATAATTTGATTTGTGCAGGAGATTTCAATTGTGACCTTCAGGCCCAAGCTCCTTGGGTTGGAACCACATCCTATTGCTGGAATCAACAGCGTTTCTTTGGCACCTCACACCGAGATCATCATCGCTTTCAGGGTCTGTTACGCCTGCATGGATTGACAGCCCTGAACACATGGGGTCGATCAGGAGCCACGTTTGTGCACGGTTCTCATGCGACACGCATAGATCATATCCTGACTCGCATTATTTCCAGTGCTGGAGTGGCCAAACATGTCAGGTACCTGGACTCAGCAGATTTTGTACCCTGCAATCAATCGCATCATGTACCCATGCTTTGTTCCATACGCACACATCATATAACATATCAACAGTATCAGCGTCCCACACGATGCACCCTTGCACAACGCAATAACTGCAGATTGGCAAGCATCGAGGAGACAGCGGCGTGGCATCAACTCCGACAACATGTCATAGCGACTGTGGACACATCTCAGTTGGAGGCTTCTCCTGAAGAATATATAGTTAGAATTCATGATCAGATTTCATCGGCGTTTCACTCTCTTTTTCCAACCAAGAATATCAGTTTTCCGAAACAGGATCTGCAGATGTTTCACAAAGCTACCAATGACAAATGGTTTCACAAGCGTTGCCTGAGATCCATCCAAGCTTTACAGGGACCTTGCCACCTCAGATCCATCCTGCAGGCATGGCATCATCGAAGCCGTTATGGTGTCTTGCAGAGACAGCAACAGAAACAGGCGCGGTTGGCCAAACAACAAAGATTTGATCAGCTCTGCCAAGAAGTTGATCGTGCAGCCATGCATCATGACTCCCATTCCATGTTTTCCATCATCAATCGCTTTACGCCCAAAAGACCATTGGCGCGTGCACGTATCAAGGGCCCTGATGGAAGAATTGCTGACCAATTTATGGCACATGCGCTGACAGTTGCATTCGTCCAGCAGATGTGGGCAGGTCCGGCCAGTCTTCCGACCTATACTGACTGTGCACCGGGAGTGCCCTTCTCCCAAGATGATCTGACCCGGGCCATCACTAAGCTGCATGCTAGCAAGTCAGTGGCACAGCCATTCATGCCAGCCATCATATGGAAAAGTGCCCCCTCCCAGGTTGCTGAATCCCTTTATCAACAATTGCAAATTTGGTGGAGTCATAGTCCCCCCCAAATTCCGCAATCATGGAAGGATTCCTGGCTTTATTTTATCCCGAAACCGGGTAAGCCCAATACCCACCCCTCACAGATGCGCCCGATATCCCTCCTGGAACCATTGGGTAAGCTGGTACTTGGTATTATTGCATCATTAATCCAACATTCTTTAGGACCCATCTTGACATGCTTCCCCCATTTTGGGTTCATGCCGAATCGCGGTGCCATTGATGCAATTCAGCGTGTTGCCAGCCACAGCCGGGCCGTCCGAGCACTTGTGGGATCCCAGAGAAGGTCGGTTATCCAACAGATGACAAATACCCCCAAACTCACTTTCTGTGGAGGACTATCATTATTTCTTGATATGTCGAGAGCTTTTGATTGTGCCAACAGATGTATTTTATTTGATCATCTCTTTGACCTTGGAACTCCCCCTGAACTTGTTCAATTGGTTGCCAGCTGGCATGAACACACCCGGTACAATCTTCAATTTCATCATCAAACCACCTCTGTGCAGGCGGGTAAGGGTTTACGCCAGGGATGTAAAATTGCCCCCCAACTCTGGGTGGTTTATATGAACAAGTTTCTAAGCCTTCTTGAAGCTGAGACTGGCCTTCCATGGATTCAGGAGTGCCTGACCATCTACGCGGACGATATACATGTGGGTTGCCAGTTTTGTTCACCTCATGCATTTTTGGTACATCTGCACAATCTTGGATTGGTTTTAGATACTCTTGAACGACTTGAACTTCAGCTCTCTTACCAAAAGTCTTTTATACTTTTGAAATATGCGGGCACGAATCCACGGCCTCCCATGAAAGGACGCATCCGACGTCAGGGTTCTGAACATTTTTGCTTGTCCCGAGACAGCAAAGACCGCCGTCAGCCCTGCCCCTGCGAACCAAAGGGAGCTACCTTGGTGCTGTGATCAGTTATTCTGCCTTTGAACAACAATCTTGGGTGCACCGGCGCCAATCTGCATGGCTTGCATTCACTCGACTTCGAAGTTGGCTCAGACATCGTCAAATTGCCATACACCAACGGCTGTATTTGTGGAAACAATGCGTCTTCACGGTCATGACATATAGCTTGCTTGCAACTGATGTCACTGTTGCCATTTTACATGATTTCCAGAAGACCACGTATCGCATGATCCGAATCATTCTTGGTGACCACCCGTACAGGACACACAGCACGCACATGCAAGTTTTCACAAGACATCAGCTTGATCACCCGCTTGACATGCTTGGTGCCCTTGCCATGAATATGATGCAACGCTTGCAGAGGCGTGCCAGTATTCTTCTGCCCACAGATTTTTTGCATCGGGTCAACTGGCAGTCACTCCCAAATACCTTGCAACTTATTCAATGCATCCGAGCATCCGTTGTAGAGGTGCCTATAAGCCCTGACGCTGCTGATCCTGTGCAGACTCAGGCTGAGCTGATTTGTCCGCATTGTCCATTTACCACTGTTTCAATAGCCAACATGCGACGTCATCTCACAACCCATCATGGCTCCAGACAATATCGTACCTCATCAACTCCCCCTGCCACTGTAGCATTGAAAGGTGCCCCCCAATGCAGTCGATGCTTTCAGGTATTCACCACATGGAACAGTTTTTACATTCATGTGCAGCGCGCATGCTGCCAGGTCATGGCCGAACCTGCTGAGTTGTCTCCAGACGGTGCTCCTGTGATGCCACCGTCATCGCCTGCCGTGCCGAGTGTGAATACACTGAGTTTCCATGTCATGACCCAAGCCTTCTGGCCTGAGCTACAGAGGTTGATATCAGGGGCAGACTGGACACAATTCCCACGCAATGCAGACATGCTTGAATACCTGACTCATCACTGTGCCATTTGCGGACTTTGGTGCAATCGTTTTCAGGAGCTGCATGGCCATTTTCGTCAGACACACCCAGACCAGGTGCAGGGCTGTGTTGCCAAAGGTGCGCAACTTTCGGTGCTCATGCAGACCACGTCACCGTGCAGCCTGTGCCAAAGACCTTACAGTAGGGTTCATAGCTGTCCCACTGCGCTGCAAATTGGCATGCTTGTGATTCAGCTGAGACCGGAGGAGGATCGGCAAGCAGTAGCATGCACATGTGACATCTGTGCCATGCCCTTTCCTGACCTGGGGGCGTTGTATGGTCACTTGACCAATACCCATGGACTGACTCTCAATGATTGGTGCCCTTCCAGGGACTCCCATCAAGGGGGCGATGGCTGCCGCCATTGTGGCATCATTTTTGATAGTCGCTCAGGTTTGCGGCGTCACATCACTGAGGGTAGGTGTGAGGCCTTCAACCCGGCTGCAACACCGCATCCAAATGATACCACCGAAAAATGGGGGCCTTGGCTGCAGACTTGCAATTTTGAACCACAGGCTCTCACGGCCCATATGCGGCTACAGCTGACCAACACATGTCAATTTTGCGGCCTGGCTTATTCCCGCACTGGGGATTTGGTGGCACACCTTCTGCAGTCGCATGGGGACCTATGGGTGGGATCACAACCTTGGCTTCGCTTCCTGCTTCAGACGGTCATGGCCAAACGTGGATGCTTATGTACTAACAACATGAGTTAGGGCTTACCCATGTGTGTGCACTGCTCCGCCAGACAGCCATGATGATCCACAGCCATGATTTGAAGTTGTTTGTGCCAAAACAGTTTCTCCGACATGAGCTTGAAACTGCCTTGAGCTGCATGAAAGATGAATGGTTTCAACACCAGGTGTGTGAAGTGATGCTGCAACGAAACTTTGAACGACTCTGGCAGGATGAGGACCTTCTGAAGGTCTTGCGGTCACGCTGCCTGACCTGTGGAGGATGGTATCAGGCTCCAGTTCTCCTTCATCACCTGTTGGTTCAACATCCCCAGACCTGCGCGTGGGCTGCTCAGATTGTCTTTCAATTGCAACATCTTTTACAGACATTGCAGAACAATGATTATCAGTGCAGCCTTTGTGAATTGGTTTTCAACCTGCCTGGTGCTCCAGACACTCTTTTGTCACCTGACCGCTGCCAACTCCAGCACCAACATTTTGCGACAAATTGCCCGGTTGTCCTTCAGATTGCAGCCCTTCTACATCCGCTCCATGGACGCCCTGATGGATCCCAACGATCAAGCCCTGATGGATGGCCTGCAGGCATTAGGACCACTGCTGTTGGGCGCCAGAAAACACTTGGATGGAAACGACGATCACCAGCCGAAACGGCACAAAGCAGCAGCCAAAGACGCCGCCTCCAACGACCAGTCGGCCGAGGCGATGGCGTCGATGCTGCGCCTGATGGCTCAATTGACCCTGAGTCACGAGCGCTCCATCCAACTGCAGCTCCGACAGGATTGCTTCGTTTTGTTTGCTCAAGACCGCCCGGAGGGCATCATACCGCATCTGAAGGTGTTGGCACAGAGCTGGAAGGAGAAAGCGCCGAGCCACGTGGACGATCTGAAATGGCCCAATTTGAGGACGCACCTGATGGCAGGAGTGGTGGCGGAACTACACTGCCGAGTGCAGCAGCTGGCGGCCTCGAAGAAAGGCGAACAACTCTGGGACCTGGCAGTGGAGAAAGGAACCTTGCTCCCGGACGGGAGCTGGGGGTACCAGAAGTGGTGTCCAGAATCGAAGCAGCTGAAGAGAGCGGCTCGGGCACCTCTCTCCATGCAACAGATGTTGAGGAACCTCCAGTCGTTGGAGGAGCTGCTTCAGTCGAACAGCCATGTCCAGAAGTTCCACAGCCTGCGGACCGATCAATCCACGGTACCATGGCTCCTACAGCTTTCTCATCGAGACTCAGACGCTTGGTACCTGCTCCAGGACCTTTGCCAGAACACAGCTTGGTCCCTATTAGGGATGTCGGTCAAACAGCACAACCAAGCACTCTCGAGACCAGCGCATCTCCTCCAACAAACGTTGAACAATCTCCAGACCCCGAAAGGGAAGGGACACGGGAAAGGGAAGAGCTCTCCGAAGACTCAGAGGAGAACCTGACATTCCTGGACCGTCAGCGCTTGCGAGATCTGCTGTTGGACCTTCAACTGAACAATTCAGGTTCTTCATGTTATGCCAACAGTGCATTTCTTGCCTATATGTGGGCTTGTTTGTCAAGGCGCAATTTTCAGTACCTTGACTGGGGCGCACAAGCGGCCACCCTGCAGACCATTCTGAATGATAATGATGGCACTCCCTTTCCTTTGGACACACAGGACTGGTTTGAAACACTTATCCATGGATGGAATGATCAACAGGGCCAAGCTGACAGTGCGGAGTTTGGACATAGACTTGCCAGTTGGCTCAACTCGGAAGCCTTGTCCAACAGCTGGGAAAGACGCGTGAGCACTCAGGCTGCCAATCTTGTCCATGACCATGGTGATCGATTCATGCCCTTGACATTGCAATTGGATCCAGCTATGATAGTTGATAACGAAATCTCCCTGACGATGCTTCTCAGGCTGTGGAGTGCTGAGCTGGGGATGTGTGCGGGTCTCTCAGATCCTCGTGAGTTGTTGGTGATTCATGTGGAACGTCTGGTCATGACACCCACGGGTACTCTTTACAAGCACCCGGCGATCATCAACTTTGCGTGGGAGGTCCAGGTCCCGGTGATGACAGCTGCCTCTGAACTGTGTACGGTGCCTTACACCGTGGTTGCCGTTGTGGCACATTTGGGCGACACCCAGGGAGGGCACTATCAAACAATGTTGAGGACCTATCCTGAGGTATCCAACCTGGCTGCCCCCAGCATGTGGATGTTTTGTGATGACAACAGACTCCCTGAACGATGCTGGAATTTCCCAACCAATTTCTCCCATGGAGTTACGGGTTTCTGGCTCTGCCGCACCGACAGCCTTGAAATGCATCTCATGACCCAGCCTCGTGCTCAGTCTACTGACGCTCTGTTGACCGTCTTGACTGATCAGCCATGCCTGCCTACGTAGACACCATGACCTGATGCCTCATTCCTGGATGCTTCGGATTGGTAGCTTACTCATGTATCCTGCCTCGATTCTGTGGATGTTAAAAAAAAAGAGGGCAAAAAAAAAAGGAATGCCCCATCAAGCTGTTGCTTTGCCTTCAAAAAAAAAACAATTTAGATCCGGTTTCACTCGCTGTCCAACGTGGCACTTTGCCCAGAGGCAGCCTTGATGGCATTTTGCCTTGCCTAGCTGGCGACTTTCCCATAGTATGCATAGGTCATGTATCACCATTCGTTTCACACAGCCATTTTGGCACTCCCCATGCACCCGGCTCCCCGCCGATAGATCCCCCATTTTGCCCGCTGGCATCCCCAGTGCGTACCCCATCCAGCTTTAAAAAAAAAAAAGGCCAGACCCTTGATTTTAACGATAGGGCTCCTGCCGCCCCAATGCACATCGGGCATTTTGATTTGCCCCAGCCTTTGGCCTTGTTGGCCTTTTTCATGCACCCAGCCCCCAGGCTGGTTTATCCCCGCTGCCTGGGTAGCCCCCAGGTTGACCCCCAGTCCGAGGGCCACCAGAAGATGCCCAAAAAAAAAAAAACAAGAGGCAGGCACCACCAAAAGATGTGCTGAGCCCATTCAGTTGTTGTTTCTCATTTACCATTCGTTTCACCTATGTTTCACAATGCCGAACCCAAAGTGATGCACTCCCTCAGTGGGTAGAATCCAGCGGTTCGAAAGAGCAACAGTGGCCTCCAGAGCCAAAAAAAAAACAAAGCAATGACACTTTGCAGCCGATGATTCTTGCATGCACCGGAATTTCTTCAGAGGGCCTACCTGGCCATGCTGCACCAGCTGATGCTGGTACATCACCTACTTCAAAGCAACATAGGTGGCAGAAACTTTTCCCACAGGTTTCTGTCACGAGCTGGTGATGAGGGACATGTTTCTCAAAAAGAGAACCATCTGTGAAAGCACAGATGTAGAGGCGAGCGCCGTTTCAGATCTGAAAAGGAGCGTTGAAAAAAAACACACACACACACAAGCCCCTGAACGGTCAAAGGACGAGGAGTCCAGCTGTAGCAACTGCCCCCCGCTTGTTCAAGGGTACGTTGTTCGCTGGCATAGTGGCGACGGCCTCTGACCCTGGCCAAGTCAGATCGTTGCTGTTGCGCGGCCGATTGTAGGCGCCGTGGTGCTGGTGGGGCAGCTGCTGCAGATCCCTACAACCTTTTTCGGCTTCTACCACCAGCACTTCCTCCACCTGAAGTTGACCATTAATTTTTCTTTCTCCATTTCTGGCCTTTTCAGTGGGGGTGGCTCCCTGGCTTTCTTTCAGTACATGGGGTGGAACACTGCGACCTTCCACGCAGAGTGGGCAACCAACTTTTACGTGTGGCTTGCTATTCTGGCCGCCTCCCTGGCACTGCTGCTGGACAACGGGCCCTTCAGTGCGCAGGAGAGGAACCGTGGGCGAGTGATTCTCGTGGTGTTTTGCGTTTTTTCCCATTTTCTGATTTCCAAGACAGGCTGGACAGTGAATAACAAGACCGCTTCCCGGTCCCAATTCCGGGGGTCAGTGACAAGCATTTGCATTCTCATCTTCTTAGCTTTTGGACATACAATGAACAATGCAAACCACCGAGCAAACTCACTGACTTGGGGTGAGGGTTCCACCATGGACATGCATGGCGGGAGAGTCGCCACGGAAGTGACGACGAAAAATCATGTCGAGGAGCTCCAGTTGACTTACGAGTCATGCCAATCTAGCCGTAACAGAAGAAGGATGTTCAAACGTAGCTTCCAAAGGGCACAGAAACGTGCATCGATACATGGCTTCACCTTATATCAAGGTAAGTGGATGACAGCGAAACAATTGGGTACAACAATTAAAGACAATAAACCCAGCATACAGGTCCCACAGAATGTCACTGCAACCTCAGGTCAAAAACGCAAACGATTGTCCATGATGTGCTGGAATGCTGGGGGACTTCGTCCAGCTGACTGGGATTGGCTCCAACTCTGGTTGACCCAGCAACGATTAGACGTCATCGCCCTCCAGGAGACCCACTGGCCATTTTCAGGAGAATGGCAACAACCTGACTACTACTGCCTGCACAGTGGTAGCGGTGCACGTGGGGCAGGCGTGATGACCCTTGTAGCAAAACGACTTTGCACTCCAGCTGAACTTTCCTGGGACGAACCAATCCCAGGTCGACTGTTGCATGTCAGAATACATGGAAAAACACGTGGAATAGATGTTATCAATGGATATCAGCATGTTCATGCACACAACCGGATGGAAGATAGGGCTTGCTTTTGGGATAGTCTTCAAACCACCTTGTCACAGATTCCATCGCGAAATAATTTGATTGCACTGGGAGACTGGAACACGTCGCTGACGAAGTGCTCCACGTCCACGGGATTGGCCACCTATGCAGGTGATACAGGCCGCTCCACGGGCCCCATTCATACAGATGCACATTTATTTCACAACATTCTTCAACAACATGACATGACATCAGTGAATACTTGGCAACATCATCTAGGACCGACGTTCAAATTTCAGGACAGACATTCAAGAATTGACCACGTTTGCTGTCGACGCATGTTCTCAGATCAGACCTCCAAACAGGTCACATACTTGACGGAATTTCCACTCAATCAGATTGACGGAGCTCATCACGTCCCCATTTTGGTTTCACTCCTGAAGGTTTGGCACTTGGCGCCGCAACGTGCAGCGGCGGGATGGACAATGCGAAAGAGGTTGGAGTTGTACAAACAATGGCGGAATCCTACTCAACATACACAACAGCTTCAGGACCACATCAACGCGGCCATCAATTCACTGCCACCGGAAGGGGATCGATTGCTCCAGGTGCATCAAACATTGAACCAAATTGAGAGTGTGGACGCAAGAGACCATCAACAACCAGTTTTTCTCTTTGATGTGACTCCGTTTCAACTTTTTCAGGAACACACCCAGCAGCTTTTTGCGCTTGAGGGGAACTCCATCAAGAACTGTTTTCAGGCTTGGTTTCACGTCATTAGACGAGGGCATGCACGCAAGCAAATGAGAACAACAGCAAAAATGGCACGCAGACAGAGACTTCAAAGAATCTTTGATTTGGCAGGACGAGCAGAACAAGCTCATGATCACTTCACACTCTACCAGGCCATCCATGAACTGGCTCCCAAAAAATGGTACAGACGATTTCAACTCAGAGATCCGAATGGTCATCTTCTGAACCCTGATCAGGCCGCTGATATGCTGCAGGAGTGGTTCCAGCAACTCTACAATGACGATAGTGCACCACTCAGCAGTCACTCATTTCAATGGCCTTTTTCAGAAGAAGGGATGAGAGAAGGGTTCCAACAGATGCCACTGCTCAAGGCCGTGGCCCCTGAGTACGCGCCATCGCCGTACTGGCAGTGTGCAGCCCACAACATTGCAGCATACTTGACACCATATCTGAGGGACTGTGGGGAACATGGTCATTTTCCAGAATGTTGGTCACAAGGCACCCTCTTCTTCATTCCGAAGGTGGCCAAGCGTAGTCTGCTTCCCAAGGAACTCAGACCCATTACCCTGCTGGAACCGTGCAGTAAAATTTGCATGGGGTTAATGGCTCAGTGCATCCAAAACGAGGCAGGAACTCGACTGCAGAGTTACCCACAATTCGCCTACATGAGACGACGAGGTGGGGATGATGCACTTCAACGCATCAGACAACATTGCTGCAGAGTTAGAACCATTTGTGAAGACCATCAATACACAGTTCACCAACAAGCCCGAGGCTCAACGCCCAGGGCAGTGAGCGGAGGCGCCATGCTCAGCCTTGACCTGTCAAAGGCATTTGACAACGTGAATCGTGAACGTTTACTGTTGTGTTTGCGACGATTGGACATTTCAGAGGACCTCATATTTTTTCTGCAAACAGTGTACTGTCAAACATTCTATCGTTTTGAATACAAGGGCTAAGCAAGAAGTTTTTCGACCAATCGTGGCATCAGACAAGGCTGCAAAGCGGCCCCAGGTTTGTGGCTGACATTTACAGCACTGTTACTGGATGAGATTGCAAAGGGAACCACAAACCAATGGATGTTGGATTGCCTTACACTTTTCGCAGATGACATATGTGTGCATGAAGCGGTGGAAGCCCCTGAGCAACTGCACAGATTCATGCGCTACATGGGGATAGTCCTTGATCTCCTGGAGACACTGCAGATGGACGTGAACATAGACAAAACGTCCGCGATTCTTCGGTTGAAAGGACCAATGGCCGCCAAGTTGCAGAAACAGTACATCATGCGAACTAAGCAGGGTACTTTCTTAAAAATCCCGAGGGCCAATGGACAAACCACACATGTACGCCTTGTCCCACATTTTCAATACCTTGGCGCCACCATCAGTTACAGAAACTTCGAAAAACAGACGGTGATGGCTCGAATCAAGGCCAGTGAAAAAGTTGGTCATCAACTTCATAGATGGCTTCATGTTCAACATAGCCTTTCAAGTACACAGAAATGCAAATTGTGGAGACAATGTGTATTTGCCTGCATGAGATACGGACTCCTGGCAGTGGGGATCACGCATGACACAGCAGGATCATGTACACAGCATGCATCAAACAACTGAGGAGAATCCTCCGAGCACCAGCGCACATCAGCAAAATTAACAATCTAGCGCTTTTGCACCAGTATCAGCTTGACAACCCCCTGCTTCTCCTGCGAGATTTGTGTCACAAAGTTGCAGCACGAGACTCAGATCGAAGACGTGACCTTCATGACACAGACATTCTTCTTCGTATTCCCCCTCCTGATTATGCACACTACTGTCAGGTCCTCGAAGAGGTCTACACCGCGGAGATCAGACGTTGTCAACAACTGGAAGTGCATGCGCCGGAAGCTCAACACATCTGTCAACATTGCCTTCTACCCTTTCCAACGCTGACGAGGCTGAGGGCCCATCAATTCGTTGAACATGACGACAGATCAGGTGCACTGCGGCTATTTCAGCCGACAGACACACTCAGTGGATTGCCGACATGTCAACGATGCAACAGACTCTTTTCCACTTATTCTGGACTTGAATACCACATCATGTACGTTTGCCCTCATCCACAACAGGACCTGGAAGATGTTGAACATCGACTACGAGTACAGGAACTGATACAGTTTGCAAGAAGTAGACAGATCCAGGCTCTGGCAGCCAATCAGGAACTGCTTTCCTATTTCCACCACAGGTGTGCGTTGTGCTCCATGTTTTGTACTACACCAAAAGGGTTACAGATACACTGGCAAAGATACCATCATGCTGAATTTCTCAGACACGATGCAGTGAACAATGAACTGTTGCAACATTGGCCGTCTCAGACACCATGTGTTCTTTGCGGTACAGCATTCAAACAGTATCATAGATGCCACATCATTCGACAGTTGGCACTGCTGCTTGTGCAAGATGGTTCAGTTGCAACCCACATCGCAGACCACCTTGAGTGTCAAGAATGTGGCAAGGTGTACACTACACACCATGGGCTTCAACAGCATATGCGACGATATCACCGAGCAACGCAGGACAGCTCAATGATGGACGAACTTTCCATCGACCTGCATTGCCTGGTGGCCCAGGCGGTGGAGCAGGATCGAGCAGAAGACCTCCTTCAGCACGAGGACATCAGATTCTTCATGACCACCAGGTGCATACCATGTGGGAAGTCATTTCCCCAAAAACGTTCATTAACACGGCATTTTCACCTCAACCACGCGTCAGAATGGCATGAATGCATCAGCAGAGCCGTTGCCCTTGATGCGCAATGGAAACCACAATATGGCTGTGTTTGTCATCCAGTTCAGCACCTCAAACATGTCTGCACCATGTACATACAGTACGTACTTCTGAGGTTAGAACACGAACGTCAACTACAGCCTCAGATTGCCCCGCTTCCACCTGACCTGGTGCTTAGTGCGGCGGAGCAGATCGAACCACTGCTGTGGCTTGGCTGTGCACACCTGCTGTATGACAAGGTAGAATTGCGCATTGTCCTGACCAAGGTTTGTCAGATTTGCGGACAGAACTGTAGAGATGGCACGGCATTGCAACAGCATCTCAATGATGCACACCCGCATCACATGGAGGACGTACGGATGTTCAAGGAGATGTTCCAATGGAGCCTCTTTCAGGAACAAGGATGCTTCTGCAACCCATCCCCTGGATGGGGGGAACCGAACCATGAGTGCGTGGGCCTCACACAGCTGGCATGGATTGCACAATCGTTCAATTGGCAGGTGGTACTACCATGGGCCTTCAAATCCAATGAATTGGTCACTGAACTCAGCGATGCACTACCACTGCAAGCCTTGCAAAGAGTCACCCTTGCGTTGATGGCCAGGAACTTTCACAAACTGTGGCAGGACACAGACTTAGAGGTGATGCTGAAGACACGATATCTCCTGTGCCAAGAATATGTCTCCTTAGGATACATCAAGTCACACCTCAGTGTTCAGCATCAAGTGACCCTGGACAAAGTCAAATACGTGATGCCTCAGGTAGCAGCCGTCTTTGCAGACATGAACTCAGAAGTGTGGCATTGTGAATGGTGTGCTGGCCTTTTGCCAACATGGAGCACCAATGAAGAATTCGTGCCTGATCACCTCAGACACATGATGGAATGCCCATATGTGATGCAAATCGCACTGTTGCTGATGATGCCGAAGTGGCACAGTCCCGCTTTGCAGCCACTGACATGGGCCTCTCAGGACCACATCGCCTCAGTGCGTCGTCAACATCAACTGCAACAATGGCAGCTGCATGCAGGAATCTCAGACACATTTGGGATGTCAATGGAAGCGTTGGCACAGTATGGACTGCAGTTCATGCAGGACCCGTTGATTGCAGAACAAGTGAGCTTCAGATGTTTGCTTTGCACCAAATGTTTCTTCATGTCCACGAAGTTTGAACAGCACTTGCACACAGATCACAATTTTCAGCAGATGCAAACCCTGATGTGCTATCATCGGCTAGCACTCCACTGTGGATCAAGCTGCCAATTTTGTGGCAAGACGCATTCGACTGATCAGTGCATCCCGCTGTTGAATCTTGCAGTTTACTTAGTCAACGGGTATGGCATCCGAGGAGCGCACAGACCAAGACTCAGTGGCACAGATGTGGGGAGCACTACTCAACAAGGAACAGATGCAACAACTGGGCCTGACCAAACCCAACGGAAGAACCAGAGACAAGAAGCGGCCCAAGACTGGCGACAATCGCCCAGATCGACGCTCACCTTCTTCTTCAACAACGGAGGTGCCGACAGAGCTCCTTCAACAACTGGTGCGTCTGTCACTGCGTCACGAAGACAGCATCAACTGCCTGATGCAGGAATCCCAGTTCATGGTCCACATGAGCCCTGGCAAGGGGTCAATAGTCCCCCACCTGCTCCAGGCCAGCCAAACGTGGCATGCCACCACAGACAAAACAGTCACCCTGCGGCACCACCTAGTCCTGGTCATGATGCAGACGTTGGAGATGCGGTTGAAGACCTTGTGCGAGGCAACTCCCACGGAGGCACTGTTCGTCGACTGCATGAACTACCATCTCATATGCAACGACACAGACCGAACGATGCCGTATCTGAGGTGGTGTCCACAGAAGCAGAAGCTTCAACCAACAGAGGCTCCTGGACTACCCAACCTGGAGGTGCAGAGAACACTAGCCAACGTGCTGAGGATCTTATCGGACCCCCTGGTGACACTCCGGTTCCACGCCCTCAAGAAGCAGAAGGAGGGGGTCGAGCAGAAGGAGGCCATTCCGTGGCTTTGGACAGTGTCGATGCGGACAGCACCAGAGCTCTGGTGCGAGCTTCGACACCTCTCTTACCACAGTATCTGGCAGCTCATCCAAGTGAGGTTTCGGCCACAAACTCAAGATCGGCAACCTTTAGCCAAGCAATTGCTGAAGGCAATGTGAACCTGGTGCCAATCTTCGAAAACCACAGTGGCACCATCTGTTTCGCCAACACGGTGATTCTATGCCTTGCCTGGCTGACCATACTAGCAGATGGGTATCATCCACAACAGTGGACCACGGGGTACGAGATGCTGCGCAGAGTGTTTCAAGCCGAACATCGGCCAGTGGATCTCATGTCAACAGAGCCTTTCTTATGGCTGCTCTTGGGGTCATGGACAGTGGAAACACTTCAGAGGCAACAGGATGTTTGTGAATTTGCCATTTATTTACTTTCATTGCTGCAACCGAAGTTTCTCCACTGTGAATGGGTTACCAAAGTTTCTCTGACGGCAGAACCAGCGAACGATGTGCTGGCATCAGAAAAAGGACACCAATTCATGCCAATTCTCATACCATACATCAATTTCCAGGATGACTTCAGCCAATTGCAAGAACTTGTGCACCTGTGGCATGATTCCCAAGGTTTTTGCCGAGGAACTACGCAGGTAGGGAAGCAACTGATATTGATGATTGACAGGTATGATCCAGAATCCTTGCTCAAATGTCAACAGCATATCGACTTTGGCAACACCATTTCCTTTCCTTGTTTTGTGGACGCAGAAGGGAACATTCGCATGGACTTATTTGCAATCAGTGGAGTCATTTTCCATTTGGGCCAGAGCCCACGTTCTGGGCACTATCGTGCTGCGCTCCGCTACCAACAGGGGTGGCTGATTTATGATGATAACAAAATACCAGATCGTGTGGATTCTCTTCCGATGGAAGTTCACAGAAACTGCACAATGTTTTGGTTAGTTCGACCAACAGCACATACTGTCAGGACCATGGAACAAGAAGATCCACGACTGGTTGCAAATCGACGAGCACCAGGAGGAACTCAACGTTGCTGGCGACGCAGGAACATGGGTCCCTACCAGAGCTCAGGTTCAGGCACCATGGATGCACCTTGACTGAATTAATGCGCTGGCACTGCTGCTGATGGCATGAGCTGCAGATGGCAGCTGACACAGCTGTGGCGCGCTGCTGACTGCGACGCTGCGGTGCAGCTGCGGTGGCATGGCAGTGCTTGCAGCGACTGAAGCTGAGAGCCGGAGGGATTTTCTTCACTTTCTGTGCGTTAGTTTCATTGCATGACCTCACAAGGGATTCAACAGTCCACTGGTGATGTCACACTTACTTCTTCACCATTTGAAATTCATTTCATGTGAATTCTTTCGGAACTTGCCATGCCTGCAGTCAAGTGACTGTTTTTGGGCTTGGCCTTTCTCCAAGTTGCTCTACGGAGCTGGCTAGATGGTAAGTCCGTCACTTGACACCGGACGTCCAAATGTGTCATGCTGATGGCCATGAGCAAAACAGTCTCATGTGAGAGCTCGCCTACCGACCAAGGAAGGGTTGAGGGGTTGTAAAAAAAACACACACACACACGCAGCCTTGCGTAGGCATCTGACATTGGTCCATGGAAGCAGAACAGGCGCATTGCGTCAGCCACACTTATTGGATGCACGTGAGGGACTTCCAACATGTAGACTTTGTGGACAACGTTTTACTACCTGGACAAGATTTCACTATCATGTGCAATACGTGTGTACGCAAACTTGGCAGGAACCAGCAACTTCTCGTGAAGACCCGGTCGAGGAGGTTGAGCACAGACTTCGAGTTCAGGAGCTTCTGCAATTTGCCAGCAGCAACCTGCTTCAGGCACTGGTGCAAAGACCTGACCTATTAGCCTATTTTCACACCAGATGCTGTCTATGCCAACATTTCAGTGTCACGACTCGAGGCCTTCTGACACATCCCCAGACTGCCCACAGTGATTTATTCAGACGGCATGAAACCAACAATACTCATCTTCTCAACAGTTTTTCCTTCTCTTCACCATGTCCTTTGTGCGGTGTTGCATTCAAACAGTACCACAAATGTCTCTTGGTGCGACAGATGGCACTCCTTCTGACACGAGACGGACAAGAAGTATCGCAATCAGCACTGACAACAGATCTCTCATGTCCTTTTTGCTACAAGGCCTACACTACAAAGCATGGCCTGCAGAAGCACATGAGGGACTACCACAGAGCCACAGAGGACTGCAACAACATGGATGCAGCCACAATTGATCTCAGATGCCAACTGCACGAGGCCGTTCAGAGCAATCAGTGTGAAGACTTACTGCAGCTGGCTGAAGTACAGCATTTCCTGGCGACAAGGTGTGTTCTTTGTGATCGACAGTTTCATAGACGTCAGGAACTGACACGGCACTTCAAACACAACCACTCTTCTGAATGGCATGAGTGTGAAAAACGGGCCATACTGTTGGACAATTTGTACAAACCTCTTCATGGATGCCTATGTCAACCCACACTACACAGCAAACATATCTGCACTTTATACTTGCAATTCATCTTGTTGAGGATTGAGTTTGAACGGGAGCATTTGCCTCCGGCTACGACACTGCCTCCTGACATGATGATGAGCTTGGCTGAGCAGATTGAACCCTTGATGTGGAATGGGCACGTGAAGCTCTTGTACAAGAAACGGCATGTGCGTTTCTCACTCACAACCAGTTGTCAGGTGTGTGGTCTACGTTTTGGCACGGCTGAACAATTACGCTTGCATCTCCATGAAAAACATGCAGACACTTTGCAGGAGACGCTCCACATCAAGGAACTTCTGCAATGGATCTTGTTCATGGACTTGGGTTGCTTTTGCAACCCCAGCTGCGGCTGGGGGGAGGCCTTGCATGAGTGCGTGAGTTTGAGCCAACTTGCGATTGTTGCAACAGATTTTCACTGGCAACTGATATTGCCATGGACATTTTCTTCTGTGGAACTTTCTGCAGTGCTTGAACCTCTTCTGCCACTGCCAAAACTGCAGAAGGTGACGATGGCAATGATGACGAGGAATTTTCATCTCATTTGGGATGACTCTGACTTGCAACAAATGCTGTGCAACAATTGCTTGCTGTGCCAGGAAGAGATCCCGATGACTCGGCTCATGCCTCATCTGATTGTGGTGCACGGCTTCACAGAAGACAGGCTGAAATTTCTGACCTACCAGCTGTGTGCAGTTTTTGCGAGATTGATGACTGAAGGTGGACAATGTGAGTGGTGCGGCACTGTGCTTCCTTGCAGACTGGAGGGAGATGATCTGGTGGAATATCCGGAAGAGCATTTGGTGCGTTGTCCTCTTGTGATTCAGTTTTGCATGCTGCTGATGATTCCGGTTTGGTCGAAACCGGCCTTGAGTCCTCTGACATGGCCATCTCATGAGGCAATTGCGGCAGCACAACGGCAAGAAGAACTGAAGTTGTGGCAATTCAATGCAGACACCTCAGATACATTTGGACTCTCCATTGACCTTCTTGCGCAGAGTGGACTTTTGATGTTACAAGATCCATTGCTTGCACAGACGGTGAATCATCGGTGCCTGCTTTGCTCAAAGCTCTTCTTTTCCAATGTGAAGTTTTCTGAACATCTGCATCGCATGCACAACTATTTTCAAATGTTGGCATTGATGTGCTATCATAGACTGATTCTGAACTGTTCGATGCCCTGTGCGTTTTGTGGTCAAAAGCAACACGATCAAACGTGTCTATCCCTTCTGAACCTTGCCGTCTTTTTGACGAATGGCCATGGACTCAGAGGAAACCGAGGGGATCGACGCGGCCACCAAAATCTGGGGTCATCTTTTGAACAAGGAACAGATGCAGACATTAGGCATCGATGGCACTTCAAATGGCAGCAACAAACGCCCCAAAACCGAGCAGCCGAAGCGGAGGCACAACAAGCCCAAAGCACCACAGTCGACGGCAGTGCCGACAGACTTGCTGGCCAAGCTGACCAAACTTGTGATCAGACACGAAGATACGATCAACGTGCTGCTCCAAGAGACGGAGTTCATGTTACATCTGAACCCGGGCAAAGGGAGCATTTTTGCCCCAACTCCTGCAGGTGAGTCGCTCCTGGCACCAGGATCCAAAGGAGCACAAGGTGCCCCTGAGACACCTTTTAGCGCTCAACATGATGCAGACCTTGGAGGCCCGCACCAAGATCCTTATGGAAGCGGAACCGACAGAGGATCTGTTTCAGGACTGTGTTCGGTACCATTTGGTGGTCAACAACAAGGACAAGACGATGCCATTTCTGCGTTGGGACCACCAACATCGATGCCTTCAGCCGACAGACGCCCCTGGAATCCCGATTGCGGTGGCCTACAAGAACATCTGCAGCATTGTGAGACTGATGTCAGACAGCAATGTGACTCTTCGTTTTCATGCGCTCAAGCGCCTTCAGGAGGATCAGACGCCCCAGCCGGTGCCATGGCTATGGACGGTATCATTACGCAACAGTCCAGAACTTCAGCAGCAACTGGCGGCACTCTCACATCACGCCATTTGGCAGCTCATTCAAGTGAGGCTGAAGCCCAAGACTCTGGCAAGACAACCACTTGCGGTGCAGCTCCAGAAGTCTCTGTGAGGTTTGGCATTGTGCGCCTCTTCAGGAACCCATCAGGGAAGGCCTGTGCAGCTCTTGCATGCCTTGCATGGATGATGCTCTTGGCAGATGGCTTTGTCTATGAGTTGTGGCACAGTGGATTTGAGTTGATGCGTAACGTGGTATCCAACAGCCTGATACCCATTGATCTGTTGCGGCACGGCCCTTTTGGCTGGCTACTGTTTGGGGAGTGGTCAATTGAGAGATTTCTTGGGCAACAACAGGATGCTTCTGAATTTTGTTCATATCTTCTTAACATCACCAGACCAAGATTTCTCAATTGCAGCTGGGACAATCGCCCATCATTTGCGGATGGCTTGGAGTCGGTGCACTTGGCTCATGAAAAAGGCTCTCCCCATTCACCAATCAAGCTTTCTTTCTTTGATTTGCAAGCTGATTCATGCAGCCTTCAAGAGCTCATACATGTTTGGCACGACGCCCAAGGTCTTTGCAGAGCAGTTAAGGAGGTTGGTGACACACTTATTCTTGCAATTGACCGACATGATCTTTCCCATTCCAAATGTTTGCAGCACATTGCTTGTGACAACCATCGCATTTTGATGCCTTGCTTTAGCAACGCCACAGGGGACGTATCAATGGAACCTTTTGTGCTGTGCGGTGTTGTATTTCATCTGGGACAAACCCCTTTTTCTGGTCACTACAGGGCTGGTTTGAAATACAAAGGACACTGGCTATTGTACGAAGATGATACACTTCCTGAAAAAGTTGCGACATTACCGGAATCAGTCAGCAGAAACACCATTTTGTTTTGGCTTGTCAAGCCGACCGTTGCCAATGTCAGGACGATGAACGAGGAGGGTGACAGATTCCCTACCATTGCCTCGTCTACGGATCCAATGCTGACTGCACGATGGTGAGCACTGGCAGACAATTTTGCTTTGCTGTTTTCGTATGACATGTTTGCAAACTTCCAAGACTTTTCTGTGAATGCGTGCAAGCCACTTGAATGCATTATGCGGCTGCTGCTTTTGCGCTTTGAGCTGCCTAGCCTTCCTTTTGCGCTGGAGCTTGCTGCCGTGGTAGCGCGGCGCTGTTGGCGGCTTGAGCACATGAGAGGGCAGCTGACCATTTGCAGCACTGAGTGTCTTTTTCCAATTTCTTTTTGGTGCATCAGCCTTTTCTGCAAACAACTACCTGTGGAAATTGTTGCTGATTTTTCACCAATTTATTTTTCCATGTTATCCTACGGGATGGACTAGTGTGAAAGACCCCTCTGCAGCAGCGGACGTCGAAATCTGCTGTGGGGGGGCCGGCAGCATAACGCTGTTGCTGGGCTCGCCTGCTGACACGACAAAGGTGTTATGGGGTAGGAAAAAAAACACACACACACAGACACACAGACACACAGACACACACAGACACACACACACAAGCCCCTTGCGGTCTCGAGTACCGCGATCAAGGGTCAGGCGATCCTAGGTGACAGCCGCAGCCACTGCCCCACGAAGTGACCATTCTTCTCGGGCGTCCCTGGCCCTCCACCAAGTGGATCTGCCAGCTCAAGCACTGCTGCCAGCCCTGGTGCAATGCCACCGCCACAAGTGCCAGCTGCAAAGCAAGGAGGTGGCTGGATGAACAAATGTGTGGCCTTAAGTTACCTGATCCTCAGAGGGCAAGTGCTGAAAGCACAAAGACTGGTCAAGAAGTTTGAGAAGAGCCCTGACTTCAAGAACTGCCTGGTGCAGCATGAGGGCAAGATGAAGAGTGATGGGACTGACCCAAAACGAGACTACCTGAACAGGTAGACACTGCACCAGGAGGGAATATGAAAAAAGATTGCTGCTGCTAGTGCTGTTGTTTTCTGCATACTCAAGCCCTTGTGGCTTTTGCACTGCAAGCCTTCTAGGCTGTGGAACTGCAAGCTCTAAGTGGCTGTCTTTCCAATGTTTGCAAGCCTGCATGAAAACTTGCAAGCTATGGTCTTTCAAGCCTTTTGCATTGCTCATTATAAGCTTTGCTGGCTGTGACTTCCAAGCCCTTGTGGCTGTCCCTTACCAAGCCATGTAGCCCTTCTAGATTGCAAGCCTGATCCTGGGTTATCACATGTCACCAAAGTTTGTCATTACTTTTGAAGTTTTACTTCTTTGTGCCATCTACAGCCATTTGGTCTTTTTCCCACCTGCTGTCCTGACTCCTTGTTCTTGTGCCCCTTGCAATGGCTTTGTGGAAAGTTGAAGACTTGCTGACTGAGATCCAGCATTTGGAGACTTTGGAGAAAAGACCAAGAGGCAAGAACATTTTTGCCACAATGGTGAATAGCTTGGAGGAAAAATTGAAATCCATCCCCAACCTTGCACCCAGTGCTGTGGTCAAGCTGATGGATGCTACAGACAGCCAAGGACAAGCTGCTCAGTGTGCTGGACTGTTGCTCAGGACCTGCCAGCAATGTCAGGCTGTCTGCAACACAGCAAAGCATTGGCAACCTTGGTATGTATTTGACTGCCAATGATTGGGGAAACCTGCAGAACACAAATCTGACAAGAGATGTTTTCCTAACCCTTGTGCAGAGGGTCAAAAAGATTGGCATGGTGTCAATTTTGGAAGATGTCAAAGCCCAAGCCCTTGGGTTGACACTGCACTGGATGGAATCCAAAGGCATACCACTGCCAGATCCATGGCCTCTGTACTACCTGGGCAGGGATTTTGCCAAGCTGTTCATGGGAATGAAGGTGCAGTGCCAAGTTGGATCCCTGGCAAGCTATCCAGGCAACCCAATGGAGTTAGGTGATGAGTGGATTAGCAAGGCCTATGGCACAAATGAGGTGCCTTTGTGTCGCGATGTTCCTTTAAGCATGTACATTGACAAGATTCCTTTGAGGTCCACAAGCCATCTTCTCAAAAATGTGGCTCAGCCTTCCAATGCCAAGATTGCAGCTGTGGCAACACCCCAGCAGAGCATTCAGCACCCAGTGTCTGCACCAGTTCCTTGGAGCATTTTTTTGCTTTCTTGTAAATTGTGTTTGCACTTTCACATCATTTTGTGAAAATGGTGGCCATTGCTTTTTAATTCCCCACATCTTTGTGTGGGGTTCTTGTTTTTGATTCTGTATCCCGGGCTTCTCCTCCTCCTCCTCCTCCTCCTCCTCCCGTCCTCCTCCTCCACACACTTTGTCAACACATACTTTGTCAACATATACTTTGTCACCACACACTTTGTCAACACACACTTTGTCAACATATACTTTGTCACCACACACTTTGTCAACACACACTTTGTCAACACACACACTTTGTCAACACACACTTTGTCAACACACACTTTGTCAACATATACTTTGTCACCACACACTTTGTCAACACACACTTTGTCAACACACACTTTGTCTACATACACACACACACTTTGTCAACATATACTTTGTCGCTTGGGGGCACAAACTCACATCCACCTTCGTTTTACGTGGCAGGCGTGGCGCAATCTCACATCCACCTTCGTTTTGCGTGGCAGGCGTGGCACTCATGGGACTGGGTGGGCGTGGCACAATCTCACATCCACCTTCGTTTTGCGTGGCAGGTGTGGCACTCATGGGACTGGGTGGCGCGCTTTGGCGCGCTTGGGTCCGCTTGGTCGCGCGTGACGCCACGGCACTTTGCGTGGCAGGCCTGGCACAAACTCACATCCACCTTCGTTTTACGTGGCAGGCGTGGCACAATCTCACATCCACTTTCGTTTTGCGTGGCAGGCGTGGCACTCATGGGACTGGGTGGCGCGCTTGGGATTGGCTTGGTCGCGCGTGACGCCGCGGCACTTTGCGTGGCAGGCGTGGCACAAACTCACATCCACCTTCGTTTTACGTGGCAGGCGTGGCACAATCTCACATCCACCTTCGTTTTGTGTGGCAGGCGTGGCACTCATGGGACTGGGTGGCGCGCTTGGGTTGGCTTGGTCGCGCGTGACGCCGCGGCACTTTGCGTGGCAGGCCTGGCACAAACTCACATCCACCTTCGTTTTGCGTGGCAGGCGTGGCCCAATCTCACATCCACCTTCGTTTTGCGTGGCAGGCGTGGCACTCACGGGACTGGGTGGCGCGCTTGGGTTGGCTTGGTCGCGCGTGACGCCGCGGCACTTTGCGTGGCAGGCGTGGCACAAACTCACATCCACCTTCGTTTTACGTGGCAGGCGTGGCACAATCTCACATCCACCTTCGTATCACATCCACCTTCGTTTTACGTGGCAGGCGTGGCACAATCTCACATCCACTTTCGTTTTGCGTGGCAGGCGTGGCACTCATGGGACTGGGTGGCGCGCTTGGGTTGGCTTGGTCGCGCGTGGCGCCGCGGCACTTTGCGTGGCAGGCGTGGCACAAACTCACATCCACCTTCGTTTTACGTGGCAAGCGTGGCGCAATCTCACATCCACCTTCGTTTTGCGTGGCAGGCGTGGCGCAATCTCACATCCACCTTCGTTTTGCGTGGCAGGCGTGGCACTCATGGGACTGGGTGGCGCGCTTGGGTTGGCTTGGTCGCGCGTGACGCCGCGTGGCACAAACTCACATCCACCTTCGTTTTGCGTGGCAGGCGTGGCGCAATCTCACATCCACCTTCGTTTTGCGTGGCAGGCGTGGCACTCATGGGACTGGGTGGCGCGCTTGGGTTGGCTTGGTCGCGCGTGACGCCGCGGCACTTTGCGTGGCAGGCGTGGCACAAACTCACATCCACCTTCGTTTTACGTGGCAGGCGTGGCGCAATCTCACATCCACCTTCGTTTTGCGTGGCACGCGTGGCACTCATGGGACTGGGTGGCGCGCTTGGGTTGGCTTGGTCGCGCGTGACGCCGCGGCACTTTGCGTGGCAGGCGTGGCGCAAACTCACATCCACCTTCGTTTTATGTGGCAAGCGTGACACAATCTCACATCCACCTTCGTTTTACGTGGCAGGCGTGGCACAATCTCACATCCACCTTCGTTTTGCGTGGCAGGTGTGGCGCTCATGGGACTGGGTGGCGCGCTTGGGTCCGCTTG